TCTCTCTCTCTCTCTCTCTCTCTCTCTCTCTCTCCGGGGTGGGGGCCCGAGGGGGCGGCTGCGGGTCTCTCCTCCTCCCGGCTCCCCGCCGGGGTCGGTCCCCCGTCCCGCGGCCTGGCCTCCCCTTCCTCCGCGGCCGCCGAGCGCCGCCCCTCCTTGATGCGCGCCGCCGATGTTAGCCGTGGGGCCGATGGAGGCTAACCGCCCGGGCGCCTTCGTGCTGAGCAGTCCGCCGCTGGCCGCGCTGCACAACATGGCCGAGATGAAGACGTCGCTCTTCCCCTACGCCCTGCAGGGCCCGTCGGGCTTCAAGGCGCCGGCCCTGGGCGGCCTGGGCGCGCACTCCTCGGCGCCTGGCGGCAACCTCCCTCTCTCGAGGCACGCGACTTCCCGCCTCCTTCCGGTTTCAGCTGTGTCCTTTTCTGGCTCCGCTGTTCCGGCGCTTGGCGTCATCGCGGCCCTCTCCCGACGGCGGTCACTTGATATTCCGTCTCTCCGGCCTGCCCCGCCTCAACGGCCTCGCCACCGCCGCCGCCGCCGGGATGTACTTCAGCCCCGCCGCCGCCGCTGCCGCCGCCGCCGCCGCCTCCCGCTACCCCAAGCCCCTCGCCGAGCTGCCCGGACGGCCGCCCATCTTCTGGCCCGGCGTCATGCAGGGATCGCCCTGGAGGGACCCGCGCCTCGCCTGCCCCGGTAAGGGCTGCTCCCGCCGCGACGCTGGGGGTGGGGGGTGGGGGATGCCTTGACAGAGACCGGACCCGATCCTGTCCCGAAAGTGAAGGGTCGGCAGAGCCGCTGCCTGAGTCACAATAGCAACGCTCCCTCTAAGCTTGTGGAGCCTTGTGAGCAACAATTCTACTTGGTGAGCTCCTGGCATTAAAGTTGTGAGCGAGCGATTCGGCTGCTGCATACATCGGTTAGCTCTGGAGCCCTCCTTCCTGGGCTGAGACAATGTGTGAGCCGGAGGCTAGAAAACTGTGTGCTGGCTCACACTAACTCAGCTTAGAGAGAACACTGGTCACAAGCCCCCCCCGCCAAGTCCGGGGGTGGTTTGGGTGGCAGGGGGGGCGGCTTTCTGCACATGCCCAGAAAGCCGGCCGTTACTTTGCCAGAGTCACGGCTGAGATGCCCACCAAACCTGGAGAGAGGTGGGGTGGGGGGGGAGAGGCGCACCGCCTGGTGCCCTGTACCCAGAGATGTCTTTGGGGGCTCTTTTGAGACCGCCCAGGGCGGCCGAGGGCGGACTGGAGGCTCCCGGCTCCACAGAGTGCCGCCGACCCGCTGGGGGGG